GTTAGGTGGGATGTGCCCCTCTGTAATTGACAGAAAACTCAAATCCAACATGCTCAAACTGAAGGAGGATTTAGCAGCCTCAAGGTAGGGATAGCTTCAGGAGTTGATTTGATCCAGACACAACAAACTGCCGTCACAGGCCTGTCTTTCCTGGACTCTGTTTCCTGTGGTGTGGGCTCTGTCTTCAGGTGGTTATCCTCATGGTGGCAGAATGAATGTTGCTCTGCCAAGCATAATGTCCTGTATCCTGCCGTGCAGGAGGCAACTTTATGCCACAGAACCCCACTCAAAACACTTCTGTGTCATGTGGGCACAAATTCGGTGACATGCTACCCAGAGATGGGAACCGTGAGATGGGCTTGTGCTCAGCTGTGTGGCAGGTGTTGCTTCCATTTCCATACAGCCAGGGATGGAATCATCTCCCTCTTTTCTACCTCCCGATGCCCAGCCTGGGGATGCCCAGAAGAGGTGTGGGATCTGGGGAAATGGGTGGGGAGGCGCTGTCACAGTCTGGGGCTGCTAGGCTCAATGAAAGGTAGGACATCTACCAGTTACACTGTTTCAAATAAATGACGAGCACTTCTTTTGGGGACCAGTTTGGGACATGTCTATACTAGAAAACCATAGTTTGCCTGGAATTCAGATTAAAGAGGGCATCCTTGGTTGGCCAGGGCCAGCCTTCCTCACACTTCTGTGTGAGGAGGAGTCCTGAGGGTGAAGGTTAGAATGAGGATTCGGATTCTGTGGTGTGGGGAGAAGCCTGAGAAACTGCACTGTCCACAGCACCGTTGCCAGTGTGCAGCGGGGGCCCCCACTTTGGGGAGTAGAGCAGGTAGCTCAGAAGGGAAGTCGCTGGCCAGGGAGAAAACTCAGGAGGTGCTTGCTGACTTAACAACGGGGAGATCTGCAGAGGGTGGCTGTGCACTTCTCTGAGTACAGGGTTTCACAGCAACGGGACTTCAACAGCTGCAGACCTCTGCCTCCGATCTGCCAACTGCAGCTGCTCCTGACGGGTGGGGTGGGGTGGGGTGGTGTGGGACGACATTCACAGGAGGCTGGCAGCAGCCCTGGAGGCATGCTCCGAGCTTCGGAGAGCTGGCCACTGGGGCTTTACTGCTCAGCAAGAGCCAGGCCCCCAGGTGCAGTGCCTGGAGACTGGGCTCTTCAGTTACCAGTGGCAGAGACCCACATGAAGTTAGCAGAGGCCTTCCTGGGGACCTCCTGGGAACTCTGGAGAGACGTCCACAGCTGGTGGAACTGGGGCACCAGGGCCTTCTGGCTAGGATGGCTGAGCCACCCTCTCATCCCTCACCTACATGCCCAGCCTCATTTTCTGCTGTGGCCTCCTCTGCACGGTGGGGGACAGGTTGTCATTGGCTCCAGAGCCTCTCTGTCCCAGTGTCTGCCTAGGAGTGCAGATTTCCGGGCCACAGAGGAGAAGGCCCCTGACTGGCTGGTGTGGGTCACGGGAGGCAGCGAGAGCTCTGCTGTTCTCTCTGTACGCATACCCAGCACTCCATCATACTCAGTGTCTCTGCTTCAAATCATCGCATCTAGAAGACAATGATGTTGGGGGGCGGGGCGGGGGGGGCTGGCAGTTAGGCATACATCTGAAAGTCTGCATCAGGGAGGGCAGCTGCAGGAAAAGTATCTCTCCATTAGAAGATGTTTCTACTCATATTTTAAAAACATTTTCATTTGTGATAAATGCACATAGCTTAGCCATCTTTAATTGTATAGTTCAGTTTAATTATTTTCCTTTTGTGCTTCCAGCATCACCAAAAGTGAAATGAGGCACCCTGACCAACACCTCTCCATTCCTCCCACCGGCCCTCTGGTGATCATAGGTCTTCCTATCTCCGAGTTTCTCCACTCTCAGTACTTCCTGGAGCGGAGTCACACAGTTTCTTTTCTGACTTGCTCAGGTCACTTAATGTCTGCAAGGCTCCTCTGTGCTATTGCACATGTCAGAGTTCCTTTCCTTTCTAAGGCTAAACAATATCCCATTGTGTGTACACCCTGCATTTTGTCTATGCATTCATCTGTCCATGGACACTCAGGTGGCTCCCACTCTCAGTTACTGTAGACAAAGCTGTGATGGCTATGGGTATGCAGATCAGACGCTGCTCTCTACTTCAGAAGGGCACCGGTGGGAGAATGTGTTAACACAGGATCAACGGGGGACCCAAGCTTCTCTGGCTTTGCTGTTTCCTTTGTTACTGTCATGTCCAGCCAGCAAGAGGGGAGACAGTGGAGCTCCTAAAAGCCTGGGCCTGGAAGTGGCCTGTGTCACCTGTACTCCTATCCTATTGGTGAGAACCCATCATGAAGCCACACTGAGATGCCAAGAGGACAGTGTAACCCCAGGAATGACCTTGGGCCAGAGGAAGGGAAGAGCGTGGGTTTTAGTGGTAACGGAGCCACTGCAACCCCGCCCTGTGGTTGAGAAACATCCCAGTGCTGGTTTGGTTGTTTTACAGACTCAGGACTAGCAGTTTCCTCTCATGTGAAACTCAGCAGGCACCATGCCTGTCACAGAACCATCAAGTGCCTAAGTCACCCTGTCTCCTAACTCTACCATCTTGTACGTGTGGCTTCCGTCTGGTGATCCAAGCCAGCTGCTCCAGATCTCAGTGTTTGGTTCTGTTTGGCCAGCTAGTAAGGGAAGGGGACAAAGAGAGAGGAAGCTGCCCTTTCACTACAGCCTCCACAGGACACCTGCTGACCTAATTCAGAGGAACACAGATGTGGTGTTTCTTGTACATGGGCTTTGTGTGCAGAGTTCATACACATAATCATAAATCCATAGCAGCATACTCCTTCTTTACTAAGATTTGTTTTAAAAATTGCCTTTGCAGTATTTTTGAAGCCGGGACACAAACATATCTTACTATTGGCATGCAAAGACATTGCAAGACATTGAATGTGCCATCTCGGGATTCGTGTGGTCTGACCTGAGGATTCCCCGCAGCTGTAGCATGAAATGGCTAATAAGTAATCGTTGCTGCCACTGCGGTTGGGGTTTAGATGAGCCAGGGAGCGAACTGAGCGACGTTCACAGGTGTTACTACACACATGGTCCCCCCGCCCCCGTTTCAGGTGTCCCATCACAAGTCAGGTGTACCGCTTGTGTTTCTGACTCCCAAGCTTGCTGTCCGTTTCAGTGACAACAACATAAAATGATTATAATTAACTTGCAGCGGGCGAGACGGGTCGCGGGGCAACGGCCCACACTGGAGCCCTCCTGCCTGGCAGCGCCCGGGGCCGCGCGGGGACGGGGACTCCCGCTGCCGAGTGCACAGTCGCAGCGAAACGCACCCTCGCGAGTCGCTCAGTGAGCGCCCTGACCGCTCGCGCTCCGCAAGGGGGGAGGAGACCCATTACGAAGCCTGGTTGTGCCAGGACCTAGGGGAGGCACCGCGCGTGTCGCGTCCTTCGGGAGCGGGAAACTGAGGCCGACAGGAGCGGCAGGGACAGGCTTCCCTGGCGCGGCGCCTGAAGCGTAGCACTATCCGGCAGCCGTGGGGCCCAGGGCCAGATCCCGGGACGGAAGGGGTTACAATGATAGAGACGACAGGAGGACCGGGTGGCGCGAGCGTCCCCGGGGTGGCGCGGCCTGCGGATCGCGCAGGCGCGAGCGGCCGGCTGGGGGCCGCCC